TTTCGTGAGGAATAAAAAGTTCTCGAGCATCTTCAATCGTGACCAACCGTTCTCCCATTGGGATGTGGTTGACCAAGGATTTCATAAAAGTCGTCTTACCACTTCCAGTTGCTCCAGCCACAACGATATTTTTTTTGAAATGCACTGCTTTTTTAAAAAATTCAGCAAGTTGTTTGGTGTCGAGCAGGTTTTGTAAAATTAAGTTGTGCTCATTACCGTCGCCATCACTTTTGATTTTGTCAAAAAAACCATCGGCGTCATACTGCTCAAGCGTTTTGGTAAATTTGGCAGGCAAACGAATCGTAATTGAGGTTTTATTGGCTTCAGTGGCAGGCGGCACGACCAACTGCGCACGTTGTCCAGTTGGAAACGTTAACGAAACCATGGGCTTGCGATCACTGATACTTTGCCCTGTATTCGTTTCATTGATCACCACCATACAAAACTGTTTTGCCCGTTCGTACGTAAGCTCAGGTACTTCTACGCGCTGCCAGCCTTGACGGGTTTCGATATAGAGATGCCCAGGCTGATTGATGCAAATTTCGGTAACTTCAGGATTGTGAATAAAGTTGGCTATTCCTAACACATGATATTGATGGTTTAAAAAATCATTGCCGATATTCACGTCAAAATCATTTGAGCTCATTTTTTACTTAACTTTAAACACAAAAAGGGGATAAAAAAATATCCCCTTGATTTATCTTGATTTTTAAATGGTGTCATGCATCGATTAGTTCGAACTCATCACGCTTGAAAAGTCTATATCTCGTGCCACATAAATATTGATGCGCTCACCTTGATTAATGGTGATAGTTGGTGCCTTATTGATGGTTTTTTCAAGAACCATTTCGCTCATGCTCTTGCCTGCTTGTTGTGCCGTCGAAATACCAATGGTTGCGGTATTAGATTTTTGCACGGCATTACCAAGCACATTGAGACCACCATCAATCATCGACACCAGTAGCGCAGCGCCCAAGCGTTTACCCCAGTGATTGTTCACATCACCCACCAAACCCGTACCACCTAAGCCGTCAGTGCCTGGGCTATCAAGGGTCACATCAAGGCCATCAGGGGTTAAGATGCGATTCCACAAAACGCCCATGCGTTCTTGACCACCGTTAGTATCTGGTGTTTGATACTCGCCACTGACTTTTGAACCTGGTTTAATCAAGAGTTTCTTGCCGTTATAGGAATAGATGGGTTCGTTAACGGTACAAGAAGAAAACCCAGAAACATCTGAAACAATTCGAGTATCTAACGTGCAACGAATAAATGTACCACGCACCATAGTGTAATCTGGATTGCCTAATTTTTTGACATTTCCCCGCGCAACACCTGTGGCTTTTAGGGTTCGAGCCAAATCAGATTCTTTGCCACCAGCAATCATGCCACCGCCATTTCCTGTGCCAATTTCGCCTAGCTGTCCTTCGACCAACACAGGGCCTGAATTCAAACGGTTTTGAACTATACTATCAGAAGCGCCTGCACCAGCGGCAGCAACAGGCATTTGCGCTGGCATAGCAGTTTGCTGCACAGGCGGTGCATACGATTGCATTGGCGGCTCATAAGTAGGTTGAGTATTTTCAGCAACTTGCATGGTGATTGGTTCCTCAACAGCAGGCGTTTCTCCTACACCTGACGCTAGCGCAGATGGATCAAAGGAGTATGCGCCAGTGTCACTGCTGCCATACACGGCTGGTTCTGGTTTTTCAGACGCCGTTAAACTACTATCAGCTGATCCGACTTCGGGCTCAGCTGGTTTATTGCCACTATTTAAGGCAAAAGCACCAATCGCAATAGACAATCCCACCACACAGGCACCAATAAAAGCCACTTTTTTCTTGTCGATCCCACCAGCGGCATTCATGTACAACGTGCCATATTCTGTTTTGTCTGCTAACGCATGTTGAATATCGCTGTGATCATCAGTCGGAGCTGTGTTTGAAACAAGGTCGGCACGAGTGGTCTGCACTGCTTGCCCAGCAGCATCATGCTCTCCAGTATGCTGACTCATCAAGGCTTTCATGGCATTATTAGAATTGTCAGCAGAATTGATCGATTGGTTTGCATATTCACTCATCATAACTCCTCATCATTTTAAGCGGGACTATTTTCCTATCCAAGCGCTACTTTTCGCAGTTCTTCGTCGTTTCGTGTATACATTCTATTTAGCATTAGAATGACAACATCATGTTTTCATCACCATTTCATCACGTAGCACTCTGATGGGTGATGGGTATACCACTACTCATCTGTTTTCTCTTGGTCCTTGTTCCGGCGTAGACCAACAACACGTTCGCCATCTCGTAAAATCAAATAGTTGTATAGACCATGCACCTTAATCGTTTCACCGTCGACACTTTTATTGACCACATTTTCGTCCCCAGATTCGGTATCGCGGCTAAAAACACTGGGCATCACTTTAGGTGGCATCACAATATAGGTGAACTGATCATCATCATAAACTCGTAAAGGAACAATAGCCTCAGAATCTCCAGACGCTTTAACATCATAATTTAGATGATATTTATTAAAACCCGTCAATTTGTTTTTGGTCGTTACATTACGCAAAGGAGCTGTAGGAACATTGGGGGGCGGTAAAAAGTCTCCAGCGCTTGGAGCGGGCACCGCAGGAGGCGGAGCCTCTTTGGGCATTTGATTTTTGTCATACACAAACACCACTTTGTAATTCACCCCTGAATCTTTGGCGTCTTTTAAGTCTTTCCACTTAGTGGTCACCACCTCAAGCTCAAGCAGATAACGCCGCTTATTGGTGTTAATGAACATATTGGTATCAGCTCGTTCTTGCTTTGGGCTCAGATAAAACGTGTTGTCTTCGCGCGTGATATTCCAAGCATTGGTAAAGCCCGTACCATATTGTTTAACTTCTTCATTGGGATCAATCACAATTTGTGTTGCAATCCCCAAACCTGTACGCACTTTAACGACTTGATTTTCCGAAAAATAAACGGTTTTGATTTGTTGCGCCATCACAGGCGTTGCCAGCCATGCGAATCCACAAACCATTAAATTTAAACTTATTTTTTTAAATGACTGCATTATTGTCCTCCCGTTTGCGATGGCGGGTTGGCGTGAGTTGAAGAAGTTGGAGCTGGGCTAGTGCCAACCGCTGCTGGGTCGGCAAGCTCTGTTCCCGTTGTGCCCATGGCTGGACTTCCCGCGGTTGTGGTTTCAACACCTGCCCACTCTGGTTGGTTGGCTTGAGAATTGTTGGTGCTTTCGATGTCAGTGCGATAAGAAATCACAAAAAACCCGACAGGGTTTTCGATACGCATGGCCTCATCCATCTTGATCGTTGGATCATACTTGTAGGTCATGTCCGCTACATAAATC